CCCCCGTCTTCGCCAGCCTCCCTATCAGTCTTGAGGACTGCTGTCTGCTGAAATAGAAATCCTATCTCACTGTCTGTCTGTAGAAATAGTAAGTGCCTTCCAAGACAAAACAACAAATGCTAACGACAAGGAGCACTGAGAGTGAACTGTCGGCATCTGCGGAGCTCTAAGGACTAATCTATCATTTAAAGATAATGACATCTTGGACACAAAAATCACTACTTTGCGACAGAAATATGTGATAGCCAATGTGCCTCCGTAAACATATGTTTTGAGCATCAAATGCTGTTTATTTCATTAAGTCACTGTGACCCAGGGTTTGAAATCACTATACCGTGGCATTGCAGTGCCTTTTTCTAAACAAAAGTGTTCCCACGAGTGTTTACTTTTGTTCTTTATTGTCCCCTCTATCCCGTTTCCCCTTTCTTCGCCAATTATCCATGACAATAAGATTTGTCTGATGGTATCATTTTGTCATCCAGGTACTCATTCAAAAAATCTTACAACTAACTTTGGAAGATGAGATCAAAGACGCAGCCCTTCCCTTGGGGATGGCATGAAACTCTGTCTGAAATAAGGTAATAGCTGCTTTGGCAAGCTCAAAGGCTTCAACAAGTAGTAATTCCTGCATCTGTGTGTGGTTGGGATCCTCCCAAGGTGTTGTCTGGCAGCCAGAGTCTGAAACTGAAAATAAAACCTCCCTGTCAACAAAGGTAGGTCTCCAGGGATCCATGAAGCGCAGACATGCACTCAGGCTGACAGGCAGCTTCATGGGAGAGAGGGGACTCCAGGAGAAAGTCGTGTTTCAGAGTTTACCTCCCAGGAAAGCTAAAGCCGTGTTTTCTCAATAACATTTCTCAAGTGCTTCCTCGGAAAATAACAACATACACACACATGCGCGTACACACGCACACCATACATTTTCATAACAATGACAAAAAGTAGTCAGGTTCGGGTTTCACCCGAGTCACCAGATAAACAGCTGACGAAGGGCACAGTGTGTAAGCTTCCCTTCGGCCTGATTAAAGGCTCACGGCACTTTTCCTAAAATCTCCGTGTTATGACACACTCTCTGGCAAACCCCGAACCCTGTCATTACTCTGCTTAGTTCAACAACACTCAGAAACTGTGGTCCCCGGGGATGCTGTCATCTTCTACAAAGGCCACATCGTGTCTCTAATTCTTGCTCCTCGCGGTTCATTTTATATGCTCTGCGTGTGCATGTTTGACTTTCAGGACATGACTCATGCCTTTTAAGTTGCTCGTCGAGCCTGCAGACGGGGAGAAGGAGTGATGAGTTCGCTGATTGGAAGTGAAAGAAAGTGTCCTTCCTTCCCTGGACACTCTGATCTGTTTTAGAGTGTGCACTAAGTGACTTCCTGGCTCACCACGACCATTGTGATGTGACATCTGAGAAGGGATGGGGGGTGTCCCCCTTGCATTCTTTTTAGACAGCTCATCACTTTCATTTCTGACAGCAATAACCCCCTCATTCTTCCAGTAGAACAGTAGAGCCGCATAGGGTGTCCTCGCAGGATGACAAGCTTGGCTAGAGTTGAGACTGGGGGGGCAGGCACGGTGGTCCAACTTACAGATTCAGGTAAGTAACTTATACAAAGCAGCACTTTTAAGTCTGCTGTATGGGTCTGTTATCTGTGGAAACTGGAATGGGCTTCAGGACGTAAGTCTTCTATCTATCTATCTATCTATCTATCTATCTATCTATCTATCTATCTATCTTGCATTTCAAAGAAAATGAAGTCGTGTCTCCTTCTCTCTCTCTTTCTCTCTGTGTCTGTGTGTCTGTCTGCTTGTTTTTTTTTTTTTTTCAAGACAGAGTTTCTCTGCTTAGCCCTGAATGTCCTGGAACTCACTCTGTAGACCAGGCTGGCCTCAAACTTAGAGATGTGCCTGCCTCTGCCTCTCAAGTGCCAGGATTAAAATCCTGGGCCATACCCAGTGTCATGTCATTCTCCTGATTGACTTGAGAAGCCTCCTTCACTGAAAGAACACCTGGTCAAAGAGGAACCCCCCAGCTTGGGGTTTAGGGCACAGAGGAAATCTGTTTGACTTCAAGCAGGAGTTTGGGATGTGGAGTACATAAAGCAGACAGAAATCAGGGGAGAAATGTCTTTGGAGTAAAACTCTGAGTCGCCTCTGTAAGAGTAATCACAGCCGCTCTAAGCAAGAATTATCTTACCTTATAATAGCTTAGAGCTGGCCTGGTGGCTACAACATGAAGTCTGTCACACTGAAATGTCCCCTGTTTGAATCTTTTAGGACAAACAGTGTAGCATGTTTGAAGACAGTGAAGACCAAGTCTCTCTGGACTGTAAGAAACAGAAATGCAGGACTGAAGAGAAGGCTCAGCAGGTGGGAGCACTTACTGATCTGACAGACAGAAGAGTTCTGTTCCCAGCACCCACAGCCATCTGGAACTCCAGATTCGGGGGTCTGGTGCTATCATCTGATCTCAGTGAGCCCCTGCACACGTGTGGCGCACAGAAATTGATGCAAGCATACACATGAAAATAAATAAAACTAGAAAAAAAAACAGAAAAGAAATGAAATGAAGTAGAAACTCAAGAACAGAAATGATAAGAACTTGTGTAGCCTTTGGAAACCTGGGAAACTTGTAGACGTCTTAAGACTTTGCGTGTGAAACTAGGATCTGGGATCTCTGAGCCCAAATCTTTGTGACAGAATTCTAGCTATACTTTGATTATACTTTTCCTTCTATCAACATTCACACGTCATTCAGGCATTTCCTTTTTTATCCCTCCAAGACAGAGTTTCTCTAAGTAGCTTTGGAGCCTGTCCTGAAACTTGCTCTGTAGACCAGGCTGGCCTTGAACTCACAGAGAACTGCCTGCCGCTGGGATTAAAGGCATGTATTACCACCTCCCAGCCCATTCATGCATTTCTTATGTGTCTATCTTGTGTATGTGAGTGTGTGCCTATGCACATGTGTGTGTATGTGTGTGTAAACACTATGAGAGAGAATATTTGAGAAAATATCCAGTCCACATGGGCACTCCTGACTCTTTTCATCTTTCTATTTATTTCCCTGACTGAAAAAAGAAGGTAGATTTAAGCAAATCTGCTGAGCTCTTGGTGAAAACCCTGGAGTCTTGCAGAAAATTTCTGCACTGTCATTGACGTCTTTGATGCTCTGGGGCGGAA